GAAACGAAAGCTGACTGCAAACCCGGTTTTGAAGAGTCAGTGCTACGCACATTTTCACGCGACGCAAGCACTTTCAAGCCAGCTCGGTCTTCGTTGCAACTTCTGGGTCGGAGGAGCTTGGGGCTGAGGAAGATAGGTGATGAACCAAGTTTGTAACAAATTCTACGGAATATAAAATGGCAGGCAAAAAAAAATTACTGTCGGGTGGTCGCCGATAACACAGATAGCTTAATAAATTACCAAGATAATTATCGTCGTCTTTCTGATTACGATAACCGCGTTGCGTTATTTCTATATTGGCTGAGCCAGCTGGTATTTTCAAGACTTCGTTGTAACCAAACGATCCTCGCTCGTTATAGCTACCTGCTACCACCCGGCATGTGCTTCCGTCACCGCCACAGATTCCGCATTTATCACGCTTCATTTCGGAACCCAATCGATGATCACAGCCAGCCTAAACACTAATCAGTTTTTTAACAAGTGGATCAGCATGTTTTCTGAGTGGCATACTTAGCTCTGATTTAAATGATGCGAACAATTCATTTTAATGCAAATAAGCACCAGATCATATTTTTATAGCTAACTGACAAGTTTTGCTACAAGCGAACCTACGGAAGCACAGCGAGAAGAAAATCTAGCGGAATAGCGAAAGAACAATGAGGCGCTAAGTACCTTATGGCAGGTGCCATCGATGCACATATCATCGCCATGCCGATCGCACGGAGTGCCGTCCAGAACTTTGTCTTTTAACAAGTAAAATGCAGCAGATCCGCTCACACGACAGTACAATTTACATCTTTCGTTGTCACTGACTGAAATCAGTTAAACCACTAGATTCTAGATTCATCGCTCTTGAGGTATCACGGTTTTTGCAGAACTAACCTCCCGCATATTTAGGTAACCAGCGAGTATTTGCGGGAACTCCGTGGATACCGACGTCTTGATTATTAAACTCAGAGCACTGCACTTCCCGAAAGCCAAGAGTGTCCCATGGGCAATCTTGTATATTGCACGGTCGGTAACGTTCCCTCTGCCCCACGCAATATCTTCCACCATTACTGGGCCTGCAAATTGCCTAAAATCAAAAAGCTCTATCTGACTTACATCACTTTCTTTACTCCTAAGATAAAAAATGGCTCATCTTTTGCAGCAGCATCCAAACTTACCAAACAGCAATATCATATTCTGCGTACTCATGAGCACGAACTCTGCAACGGAGAGTTCGGTGCCAGTGACATGAAATTACTTATTTCAAAATATTGGACGATTTTTTGAAAATTAGAAATCAGAGCTGCTATACTGTTAACTTTCGATTCATTATACCATTTCATCGACAAACAACACTCTCTGATCCTGCGCATATCGAAAATGCCTTTCACGAATTATGTCTTTGAGCATATTTTCTAAACTGCAGAAATACAAAAATTAGGAAATTCACTGTTCTCGAGTACGTACAAAACGAAGATTAATAAGCAACTTTCAGTTTTTTAGCGTCTTTGGATTCAAATTCTGGCTAATTTTGCATTGTCGTGTCAACCCACTGCGTTCCATTACATAACAACAAATTCCCAAAAATGCATTACCAAGCCGGGCACACTGTGAATGTTTCGTATTAATTTAGACAAATTTTACTTCAGCTCACTCGCAAAATCTGAATTATTTTCAGTGAAGTAACCTTGGGTTATCACAATCGCGC